GACAATGTGCTCACCGTAGCTTCTTTGCAATTGGGTTCCAAAGACGACAATTTGGTGCGTAAATTTTTATAAAAAACATATTTTTTGAGTCTAAAATTAAGAAAGACCATTCAAATTCCGTGGCGGATACAGGTACCTTGAATGTGGGAAAAGTGCAAAAACTTATTTTGACAAATTCGCGTATATAATCGCGTTTTTCTTCGAATTGATTTCACATACAATCATTCTTGTGTTGTCATATTCGCGAATCTGTGTGAAAATAGGTCAAAAATATATCGATACGCGAATAATATGCGTATTTTATCCAAAATCAATTGTGAGGCACATCCGCGATTCTTAACAGATCCTTTTAAAACAGGTGTCCTTTTGTGTATTTTCATAGGAAGTTACTAAAATCGGAAGCGCATAAAAATCGTATGCACGTTGCGGCATTTTTTGGCATTTTTATGGTTTTTGCATTGTAAAGTGCATCGAGCGGCACATTTTGACCGCTAAATTAAACATCGAAAAATTCATAATTATTGAAAGACATTGATTCGGTTTATACGAAAATCGCATGCGCATCAACTGATTTCGACTAATACGCGAATTGCATGCTTTTAAATATTGATAATTTTTATGTATTGTAACTGCAATATATTTAGTCATTTTTACAGTCGAAACTCTTATTAGATGAATATACCGATATCATCTGAAAGAATTTGCAGAAGAAAGCATCGTATATTTTAGAAGATTAAGGCAAACCCGTATTCCCTTAACCATACTAAACCAGTAATTAAAGTAGTAAAGTCGGACGGGGCCGACTATATGATACCCTTCACCACTATGGGTATATTAAACAGGCCTATTAACATGAAATTGGATGAAATAAAATATGTGATATTTATATAAATGTGAATCTACCTAGATCTATCCATAAACATGTCATTCGTTTGTTACAATGGGACAAAAGTATGTAAATCGACTTCAAACAAATATAAATAGGTCATCCGTTGGGCTATATCTGTACTTCTAGAAAACGCAACTACGTAATTCTATGCTCAATTTTGTAAGTTGTGCAAAATTTGATGTCAATCTGACTAACATGAGCAGTTTGATGCCCAATTTACTTGAAATCGGGCGAAAATATATATGGAAGCTTTATCAAAATATTAAGCGATTTCAAAAAAAAAACTTGTCACAGGTTATGTTATACTAATTTCAGAACGTTTTGTTCCTATTGGTTCCTTGGTGCGTCAATTACTTAAAATCAATCTATAATAAAAGGGAGCTATATCTAAATCTAGGCCGATTTTCACGAAACAAGGCAGACATCACTCTAGGCTCAATTCAGTTATGCCAAATTTCGTACAAATCGAAGCATATATAGGGACGTTGGTGCACCATTTACATGAAATCGGACGAAACTTTATATGGGAGGACCGATTTTCTCAAAACTTGGTAGACATCACTCTAGGCTCTATTCAGTACGTCATGCCAAATTTCCTGCAAATGGAAGGATATATAGGGACTTTGGTGCACCATTTACATAAAATCTGACCAAACTATATATGGAGCTATATCTAAATAAGGACCGATTTTCTCGAAACTTGGCAGACATCACTCTAGGCTCACTTCAGTACGTTATGCCCAATTTCCTGCAAATCGATGGATATATAGGGACTTTGGTGCACCATTTACATGAAATCGGACGAAACTATATATGGGAGTTATATCTAAATCTGGACCAATTTTCTCGAAACTTGGCAGACATCATTCTAGGCTCAAGTCAGTACGTTATGCCGAATTTCGTGCAAATCGAAAGATATATAGGGATTTTGGTGCACCATTTACATAAAATCGAACGAAACTATATATGGGAGCTATATCTAAATTAGGACCGATTTTCCGAAACTTGGCAGACATCACTCTAGGCTCAATTCAGTACGTTATGCCAAATTCCGTGCAAATCGAAGGATATATAGGGACTTTGGTGCACCATTTACATGAAATCGGGCGAAACTATATATGGGAGTTATATCTAAATCTGGACCAATTTTCTCGAAACTTGGCAGACATCACTCTAGGCTCAATTCAGTACGTTATGCCAAATTTCGTGCAAATCGAAGGATATATAGGGACTTTGGTGCACCATTTACATGAAATCGGGCGAAACTATATATGGGAGCTATATCTAAATCTGGACCGATATTCTCGAAACTTGGCAGACATCACTCTAGGCTTAATTCAATACGTTATGCCAAATTTCGTGCAAATCGAAAGGTATATAGGGACTTTGAGGCACCATTTACATGAAATCGGACGAAACTATATATGGGAGCTATATCTAAATCTTGGCCGATTTTCACGAAACTTGGCAGACATCATTCTAGACCTAAATGATTAGGCTGTACCAAATTTCGTGCAAATCGAAAGATATATAGGGACCGTTTACATTAAATCGGTTAAATATATATATGGGAGCTATATCTAAATCTGAACCGATTTTTCCCGATTTCAATAGGGTTCGTCCTTGGGCCAAACAAATGAGCTGTGCCAAATTTCATCCAATTCGGATCATAAATGCGACCTGTTCTTTGCTCACAAAAATACATGGACAGACAGACGGACGGACGGACGGACGGACATGCATAAATCGACTTAGAAAGTGATTCTATGCATATTCTCAAAAGGAACCATGTGTCTATCTCGTTTCCTTTTGCCTGTTACAAACATATGCACAAAGACATAATACCCTGTACCACAGTGTGGTGAAGGGTATAAAAACCGAAAAATTCAATAAACCTTTTGTCTAAATTCAAAAAATTAATTTATTTTATTTTCAGATATCTTCATGCTTCTATTTGTTTTCCGCGACTATTATACCGTATTTCAATGTGATTTGACAAGTATGCAAAGAAAACAAATGTTTTTATCCATTTGTGAAGAAATTCGCTAATTACAATAAATAGGAATTCATTTAATTAATTTTTGAAATACAAGATTTAAAACCGCTATAAATTTTGTGCGCAGCATCCGAATTTGTGAACGCGAACAGATTTTGAATCAGTATATCATATTGTGCGCAGCATCCGAATTTGTGAACGCGAACAGATTTTGAATCAGCATGCTCGCAAAAAAAATTTTCAAAATTTATCCCAAGTTCGCTATAAGAGTAATGTTTTTTTTATAAAATAATTCTTAAAACTTCCGGACCAGAAAGTATAATCATCGTCCTTACATGCAAAATTCAAATAAATATAATTTATTTCAGCTGAACACGGGTAGGGTTCGAAGTTCGAACCTAGGTCCCAAAACCAGTTCCGAGGTTACGCAAAAATCATGTGCATACCATGGATGCAATTGTAAGTGTGTGGATTAATTACACTAAGACACATTTTCAACATGATACCGCTACTTTTATACCCTACACCATAGTTTGGAGGGTATAGTAATTTTGTCATTCCGTTTGTCCCATCGAAATAATCACTTCCGACCCTATAAAGTATATATAGCCATGTACATCCATCTGTTGTAATCACGCTGAAATTTTCCATAGGGTGGTCTTTTGTCTCCAGGCATTTCAAGTTCGAAGATGGGCATATCGGTTCACGTTTAGACACAGCCTCTATAAAAAAAACTCAGCGATTCTACAGCAAATAGGAACCCACTCTTGTTGGATCTTTTGTCATGGAGTATGTAACACAGGATGATATCATGTGTATAATGAAAGCTAGAAGTGACATGTTAGCTTTAAACTCAAATCGATACCGAATAGAAGCAAACCCAAGATGCTCAATGTGTAATACACAAGAAAACTAAAACATAAATCATTTTCTATGTCCATGCCCAACACTAAAAGAATTCCGCCAGAGATTTTTCCAAATAACTGTACTTAACGAATCTGAACTAATAGATATTCTCAATGGACTGGTAATCAGCTGGAAAATGTTAGTCAATTATTTAAAAACTTCTTAGCAGTATAGAACCCAATTATTGTTAGAATTCAATTTTTAAATATTTTACTTTTTAAACATTGTAATCAGTATAATTTATATTTAATATTATTGACAGACGACTATGAGTTAATGTCTATATAAATACAATATTTAAATATTATTTTTTATACTCTATTTATATTGCAATGTAATGTTACAAAATCCAAAATAAAGGATATACTACTACTAAAACAAAAAAGGGTACCCCCAAATTTTCTGTATTTTGAAGTTCTAGAGCGCATTTTTCAAGCGAATTCGCTGAAATTCGACACATTGGGTTCTTATTGGATACCAAATTTCTCCACTAAAAATTATAAATATTGGTCCCTTTTTCCTGGTAGCCCCCATATAACGACACGTCCCAATTTTCGGTATTTTGGGTTTTTTCAACCGGTTGGAGAATAACATATATCGGCCCGCTTTTAGGCCTATACGCTAAATAAAAATACCTACCGGTTTAATAATTAGGGTGAAGGAAGATATTGTAATACAAACTTTGTCCTGTAAATTGCAGTATTTTGTGGATGCGTTTTCAGATTTTATGAAAAATCTTCATTATAAATTGCTGTAATTTTTATTTGGTGGTTTACAAAAATCGATTGGTAGAATTGTCGTTATATGTCCAGATTTTGATATGTACCCTATATTTCCATTTCACTTAATATAGCTATGATGGGGTGCCCGGCCGAACTTAACGCCTTTTCACTTTCATTTCTTCACATTGCTCCCCTATTTTCGATTAAATAAAACTCTTTTGCGAATATTTACACTTAAAACGTACAATTTATTTTACATACATATTTAAAGTTAAAGGACACTACAATTAATAAACAATTACAACAAAAATATTTTTTTTTCATTATTCCTTCTCATTTGTTGTGCTTTTGATGGACACTTCTTGTGGTTCTGTGTTGAGGATTCTGAAATCAGTCTCACTATTTCTAAATGTTAGAAATATTTTCGAGTTTTCTTTTTAATTTGTAGTTGTTGGTGTTATTATTTTGTGACAACAAAATTTCAACATCTTAGGCACGGACATCCTTATAGTGTTTTTCGTTATCATCTTGATCCAATTTGATGGAGTATTTGCCGATCAAAGAACCATCAACATCAGCTTGACCGTTGGGGTTGAATTGAGGACCATCACCGATATCTTCGGTTTCTTCCTTGACTACACGGTAACCATTTTCATCGGCTTCGTAGTGAACGGTACGTCTGACGAAACCATCACTGTAGGAGTACATACCGCTGACCTTGGTGCCTTCACGGGTTTCTTCACGGGCAATGGTACCGTCATTGATTTGATCATCGACATGGGCGTTGAAAGAGTACTGGGCGGATTCGTTTTGGATGCGTTCCAACTCAGCCTTGTCTTCATCGTCTTGTTCCTGTGGATGGAGGAAGGTATGCGTTATTAAAGAATTTTCTACGTAAATTAATTAAAATAAAATGAGTGTTTTTTTTTCAATTGTTTATATGACAAGTATGTGGTTTTTGAAAACAAGTTGAAGAAGAAGACGCTTCAGAGGCATTTTGTAATTGTTTGATTGATTGTCATTTTGTTTACTTCTCTACCTCGATGGCAGTTAGCGATGGGTAAACATTAATTATGATGGACAACAAGTGGAAGTAGTTGGGCGTATTACTTGTCTATGTCCATGCTGCGCATGTTGTTGACCTTCAAGAACTTGTAAATTTATTCCGTAATAATAAACAGATTAAATTTATCTACTTATTAACGCTTTGTTTAAAACGTTTGCAATTTCATCTTCATATGTTTTGCCCATAAAAGGGTAACGTAATCCGATCTATTGTGATTGGCATCAATCACATTTTTAAAGTGTTGTTGTTGGCGTTGCTACTGTTATTTATTTTATTTCGACAAAAAAATAATTAACTTGAATGTCCAATAAAATTCCAATGAATGGGTGTTTGAGTCTTTAACAGTAACCACAACAATTTGTTTTTGCTTTTTTTGTTTGTGGAACATGTCTGGTATTTCACCACATGCCTTCAGCGAATAATACTATGTTGCGCATGCTCATCGATCATCAGGCATGTATGTCAGTCAAGTTTATTTGCTAAGAATTTTTAATACGATTTGACTGTGTGTTTTTTTTTTTCAAAGAATTGAGTTAATGGGAATTTTTGTCAACACGAAGTGTGACAATCTAGGTAAATGGGGATTTTTTGTGGTTAAGTAGAAGTGAGGGTGGGGCTATTTTTAACATTTTATTAATTAATTTTGTAGAGAAAATTCTTAAAGATGTTATTTCTCATTCACTTGAAACTCTTATTCCGCTTAGCAACTGATTTCGTTGGCGGAAAGCGACTGGTTTTGTTCGGGTCTTTTGACATTTATCTGTGGGCCAATAAAAATCCATGTTTTATTTCTTAATAGTGTTTGCAATGCATTCTTTTTAGATTTTGAATTATTTTGATAATTTTAATTAAATTTGAAATAAATGAAAAACTTCTAAGATTTGAAACTGGATTTTCGTAACAATCGAAACCAGTCTGGTTTCGATTTTGATGAAGGAAATACTACCGTTGATAAGGAAATACTACCGGTCTGCAGACAAATAGTGCTGAAAACGCATTATCGGAAATTATGGTATTTATTTGCATGAAAAAAAATGGCGCCCAATCGGAATTTTATATTGCTTATTACCAAGCATTGTTGTTGACTAAAGAAATTCGAAGGGTTTTGGGAAAGTAAATTCGAATTTTGCATTTCCATAAATGGTAATTGGGCGCCATGGTTTCAAAATGGCGCCCAATTTTCGTTAGAAGCTGATCACTTTCATACTGTCAAAATATACATTATAAAAATCTCAGTATCTCTAAAATATTTCATATATTTCTGAGAAACTGGCGCCCAACTGAAATTTCGTACTGTATATATTGCCAGCTATTTTTTATTCAGGATATTAAACCTGCTTTTTAGAAAAGTAAATTCCATATAATTTAATTCGACGTTTTTATTTAGGAATATAGCTGGTGGCACCCAATCGAAATTATTCATAAAAATAATTATCAAGCAGCAATCATTGTTCTGCATTGGCTTTAGGGCAAAGTGGCGCCCAATCAAAATTTTGTATTTAGTTTGTGGCACCTAATACAAATTATTTTCTTCAAGTATTAAAGTCTAAAACTGGTGTCCAATATTATATTTCATCGATCAGGTTAAATATTGTCAGGCATCGATCAAGCCTGCTATTGGTAGGGGAAAATGGCGCCCAATTCTGATTCTAATTTCTGAACTCTACAATTTGAATTCAGATTCAGATAATACTGCATATATTGTCAAACTTTGTCCACGTGCAATTGGGGAAAGTGGCGCCCAATCGAAACCTCCTACTATTAAGAGTTGTACAGAACATATTAGAGGGAATTGATCCTTCTGGGATTCTGTTATCTCAGGATGAATATTTGCATACTGTTAATATTGCCAGCAATCGATATGAACTGCATTAGCTGTAGGGGAAAGTGGCGCCCAATCGAAATTTCACACTACTTGAAACTGACGCCCTTCTTTATTCATTATTCTTTGTTGGAAACTGGCGCCCAATATATACATTTCATCCCACCAAAATAATGGCGCTCAATCGGAGGACCAACAAGTACAATTTGTGGCTGTAAAAATTGTGACTTAACCGACATAGAAGGTGTTCCAGCTATAGGCGATTAAAATTAAAGCATAAATATATTCAGAAGGATAAATATATTAGCTCATCTACTAAATATGAATGACGAATGTGGAAAGTTTTTGAGAACCTATGAAGTAGAGGCCTATTATAATATAAAGCTTGCTTTGGGATGCATGCTGATTCGTCGTCAAATTCCATTCATGACATATGGTGCAATCTCTATTTCCCATTTTCAAGGCAATTGAAAATTAGTTGACCTCTTTAAAAAAAATGGAATGGAAAACAAAAAACTTTCAAAAATAACATCATCTTCAAATAAAACTAAACATTTCATTAAAATTATTCACAATAACTTCATTAACTGCACCCACAATCTATTTAGTTTTATTTGATTTTTATGTGTTAAATATTTGCTCTACTTAGGGTACAACTGCGCAATGAGCCCTAATGGTCAATGATCACAAGCAATTGAATCAAATTATCGAACCACTTTCCGTTCGGCCTTCGCACAATAATTAGCAGCTGTATTGCACTTCGAATCGATTTGAAATTAACTGATTTGTCTTCTTCTTATTATTTTTATTGGCCACTTTTATGATGACACTTCACACATTTAAATTTTGTACATTTGGAAATTTCATTTAATATTCCCAATGCAAACACAATTTCCCAATTTTGGAAAAAAGGGAACACTTGTCTTTCTCTTTTTTTATTGTTTAATGTTTTTTTTAGTTGTATGCCTTTTACGGGAATACAATTTTTGTTTTCTTTTTTAAATAAATTTTCACTCACAATTGGCAAAGCAATGGCGGCAACCAAAAGGCAAGCAATCAACACGAGTTTGAACATTTTTGTTGTAGTTTTGTTTATTGTGATTTTGGGGAGTAGTGATGTTCACGTTTCAAGTGTACTGTTGACTATGTTTGGCAAAGTGCAAATATTCTTCTTTTATACGCACTTCGAAACGCCACTGGGCCAATGCGCATGCGCACAATATGCTGTTGCTGCCAACAACTCTGCCTCTGCTGTTGGCGGTGATGACGTTGGCTTAAATCTTAGCTTAGCCTGCTTACCCATGAATCAGTTAATATTTACCGGCTTCATATTTTCAGCTGAGGGGAATGGCATTCCGCATTCCACGCCAGCAGCGGCGCAGACGTACGAAAGTAAACACACAAAATATTCCAGTGTTTTTCGAATGTGGACGTAGAGTGTGTTCGAATGTGTGTGAGTTTTGAGTTTTTGCATTCAAGAGCGCCCGAAATGTCAATGGTTTAACCCATCTTCTTCTGTGCATGGTGTGTGCGACTTGTAGTTCGTCAGTCAGTTTGTCTATCTGTCACTGCGTCTTTTTTTACTTTAAATCATCTGCGTTCATTCACAACACACATGTGGTCTGTCACAGTGTTTCCCCCCATTCCATAGTTTGTTTTTGTCTTCATGCTTATTTTGTGCATTAAAGAATTCAATTTTGAAAAAGGCGTTTAAAAAATAGATTCGATTTGCATATTGACCGTGCTTTGACCTACAGATGACCAAATATGTTTATTACAATGTTATTATAAAATTGTGAGCGGTTCTTCTATTTAATATCTGCATATTAATATGGATTTTATTATATCGAATGCTATTTGTTTAATGTCAATCAAATTATTTGTTTTTTGTTTAAATTTTGGAATAATTAGATCATTAATTTGAATACGTATACGAAGTTTTTAAGATATCTTGGTGTTCATAGATTCTCAGAATAAAAACAGTCATATGATATCTTACGATAATTTCGTTCGGAAAAAATAAATAAAACTATTTCTCATATGGCAGAGAAAAATATTAAGATAAATTATTTGTAGGAAACTCGAATATTAACTAAGGTTTATTTTATGTGACGAGTAAAAGGGTTCATACTCCTTCTCCAAAAGGTAAATAAAATTTGCCTGCAAAAAGATTTAATTAGGAAGTTTTCAAGTTCTAACAGACCAAAATTTTTAATGTAACCAACATGTAACCAATGTAAAGTTATGGGCCTTCATTGTAAATTGCTCAGAACATTTTTCATATACTTGTGGGTATTGGGTCATCAAAATACCGTCGGGTACGATTATAGCGAACTAGTAGGGACCAAGCAAATTAGTTCCTCATAGAAGAAGTTCCAAGGTAAGGCAAAACATAGGCTTCACAGAGGAAGTATATATTCAGTTAGATACGGGAAGTTTTTTTTGCCTCTTTTGTAAATTCTTAAGGTGTTCTCTTTTTCTTTGATGAACATGACATTACAACAGACATTTTTTGTAAAGGTTGCCAGCGTTAGAGTAAAATGTAACTTTTGTAAGGATTGTCATCATCAAGTTCGTTACAACCAAATTAAAATGTATGAAAACTGAATGATGAGACCGAACAAATGTTCTTTATAAAAAAAGTTCGATATATCCGTAGTTCATTATAAGAGTTAAGATTTGTATGAAAAATATGTCTTAAAACTTTGGAACCAGGCAACTGTACTGTACTTTAAATTGGGTGAGAAATAAAAATAAAATATATTTTTCACACTGCAGGAACCCGTAATAACAGCCACTTTAGATGGAAACACCTAAAAATACAGTAAATTGGCCATTCGGTTGAAAAATGCGGCTAAAACTTCAAAATACATACAATAGACGGGGATAGACGGGATAGACTATAAATTTGTTTGAATATGTTGTTTATCCACTAGGGATGCCAAAACTTGGATCTATATCAAAACCAGTGAGCGGAGAAGTACAGTCAAACGGGCCTGACAATATGATACCCTATACAACTTCCACTGAGCTCTAAATTTCTGCAAATCTATATTTAAAGCCTGGATAATATTTTGCGATATTTGCACTTCGTTGATCGTTTAGAGGTCAACAGCTCGTCTGCGGTTCATTTAGTGGGTCAAATCTTCCCTATTGAAAATTTGTAATGTTCGCCCTATAATTCTGACTTCTAGAACGACAAAAAAAACAGCCAAAAATAATGTTTTTGTCCATTTCACCCACTAATCCCCTGATCATCACCGAAAATTATAGGTCACATAACTGGAATTTCAAGTACAATTTTAAAGTGATCAGTGTGACAATATTTTCGTATAAATTCCACATCCGACTGCATACCGCAATATCATGTTATACTGTCAACTTATCTGAGCTATGTCCTTCAGGAGTAAATATATAGGCCATATAATACAAATTTAATCAATTTTCACACGAAAGAGTGACTCTTTTTGACCAGCTAATTATTGACCGATCTTTATCAAAACAGTCATGCTTATTCCATTGCCAAACTCTTTCTCTGCGCAAAATGTCGTGATGTTCGAGTCATAATTGCAAACATTTCATCTCCTAATATTAACCGATCATTATCAAAAACAAAACAGCTAGTCGAGATATGACAATCGGTATACTAAATGGTAGATCTTTTTTTAACCCTAACTTTTTTGTTGGAATTTTTAACTGAAATTGGGAACCGGAGGTAATTAGTCCAGACCAATCTTTCTTCAGGAACTTTGAGCTCAAACGAGGGTAGAAAGGAGTTTTCGTCTTCAATTGTACCTTTATACGAGGATTACATCTCTGAGAACGTGAACTACTTTTATAGGAGGTTATATCCAAACATGGATCTCCTATATTGGCATAACCTCTCTGAAAAATAATACAATAACCTTCAAAATACCCAAAATGGAGCTTATGTCAAAACATTGCCGATATTTTTCTTATTTACTTACATGTTCGAGTTCTGTGTCATTAGAACAGTCATATACAATGTTAAACATTCGATTGGGTTTGTTGTTCGTATCAACACTTGTTTGATATCGAAATAATTTGGAATATAGAATAATTTGGAAAATACATATGCGAATTTTGTAACGGACGGTAATAGTGTCTGAAATAAAGAAACAGTGGAATGCAAAACCAGTTACAATCGAGTGAGTGGAAAGTCGGCGGTTGTATTTAGCATGTATATCGAAATAATTTGGAAAATACATATGCGAATTTTGTAACACCAATGCAGAGGTTGGTAAGAGTGTCTGAAATAAAGAAACAATGGAATGCAAAACAAGTCACAATCGAGTGAGTGGAAAGTCGTAACAGATTAAGTAGTCAAATAAGCGGTTGCAAAAATAACAAACGCCAAGTAAGGGAAAGGAGGAGAACGATACCAAAACAAAACACAACCGAATAATGAATGGTGGTTGTGGGAGTAATACATTTGTTTTTGTCAAAAAGAGGGAGAGACTGAGGGAGAGAGAGCGCTACTTTACCACAGTGCAAATAGTGGTAAAGTAGAAGTAGGCAAATAGTTGTTATATTAAGGAAATGTTTACATATTTTTGGAAAAATAATGGCTGTCTCATGATTTTAAGAATTTTTACTTGTATTAAAAGCGAAATACATGTTGTAGGAATTACAACATCTGATTGATTGCTATCATGAATTTTTATGTCGAATTAAAAATTTTCACCAATATCGCTACAACTCAGATTTATGTTTAAATCTCAAATGCTTCCTATCACTATCCTATCACTATCAATTATATTTGTAAGTAGGGAATTATATCAAAGTAGCAAAGATATTTCTCCAAAATCCCGGAATACTAAATGTTAGACAATTCGGTTGAAAATTGAACCTAAAACCATCAAAATACCTGTTATTTGTTGGTAAGTTATACCAAATCGAACCGATATATCCCATTTTCAATACCAAGATCTAAGGAGTAATATAAAAGCTCTATGTCAAATATTGCTATCTGGCTGACAGACATGTATAAAGTTTGTATAGGTATATCCGAACCGATTATGTGGTATTATGTTGTCAGCTCTGTCCGTCTCTGTCATTTTCCATATTTTTTCTAATGTTTTGCATTTAATTGATTTGTATAATTATAAAAGTGAAAATA